TTGGCCTGTGGACTGAAGGGTCCCAGGTTCGATTCCGGTCAAGGGTATGTAGCTTGGTTGTGGGCACATCCCCAGTAGGGAGTGTGCAGGAGGCAGCTGATCAATATTTCTAACTCTCTATCCCTTTCCCTTCCTCTCTGTAAAAACTCAATAGACTAATGCAGTCAAACAGAGATGCATAAGCTAGTGCAGCTCCTGAAACAGCTACAAAAAGACAAGATTGGAAGAAAGTGTATTGAAAACTTTATAACAAGTGGCAGCTGAAATTTTCTGCAGCGGAGAAAAACAAGAGGCTACTTGTCTGTTGTATAAAACAAATTGTGAAAATAATAAAGTGGATAATATGAATAGACATAGTAGCTAATGCATAATTTTAATAAGTTCCTTTTCAAAAGTTAAAAAAATTAACACATTTACCTGAAACTGAATTAAATTTTCAAGAAAATGTTTGTAAGTTATTTTTAATGTGATCTGAGTTTATAACTTTGGCCAACTATAGTTTGGATTCTTATACAAAAAAGAAAATCATTTTTAGATGGAGAGGTGGTAATAGATATAATTACAGTGTTTGTTAGAAAATTATGAAATAAAGGCTAAAATAATTGTTTAGAAAAGTGAAATATTTTAAATTAAGACACCACACAATTATATGTAGAATGCAAAATATTTATAAAAATACCAAAGATCAGTTAATTAAAAATTTGGAAAAGTACAAGCCCTTTAGTTTTAGATGAGTGTGTGATATGAGACACTGCCCAATTAATACTCTGGGTATGTTTTGTCTCAAAAATACTCCAAATTCACACACACACACACACACACACACACACACACACACACATATATGTCTACTTGTGACCAAAAATATTGAACTCATGACATAGATATGTTTGAATATTTTGAATCCATCAAAAAATAATTTTAACTAGTCATGTAAAAAATTATCATCACAGAAAGTGCTCTAGCTAGGTGTGTTAGGCAAGATTCAACACTTAATGGAATTTTAAAACAAGAGACAATGTTTCCCTACTGCTTCATTCCCCTGTGTGGTATCTACTGAAAGGGTTTGGCTCAGCTTTCTGAAAATAACTCTGAAAAGTACCATGGATACTCCTTTTAAAATTTTTAGTATATATGTGGAAATGTTATGAATCATTGCTAATTTATGAATCTATTGAAATAAATAGAATATAATGATTTTAATCCTCTTGTGGTCTTTAAAAAATGCTTGTTGTTGAGTCCTTAGAGAGTTTTACAAAGATTTATTATACCATTCACTTCAAGGTTTTCTTGAAACAAAAGGAATATTTGCCAAATGTACAATTTTATTGTATAAAAAGAGCAGTGTGGCTTGTTTCTCATATGAATAAGCTAACTCTGAAGCTCCAAGTAAAGAAAAGCTTACCTGTGACCTAGCTAGACAGGTGCCAAATTTTGTATTGAAATACACACTTTTTATTATCAGAATCAGTGATGATGGTTTGCGTACATTTCTAACAGGAATCAAAAAAAGAGGTGTTAATATACAATTGAAATAAGTATGTAAATTGGCTGCAAAAAGGACAAGAAATATTGGAGAACATGTCATAGCTATGGATAAATTTGGAGCTGCTTTTCAATTTAGTCATTACTCCTTTAATTTTAGTGTTAATTATATTGAGTTGACGCAAGAGTTTTTAAATTTACTTACATTGGATAAATATAGTTTTGAAACTGATACGTTTTTGCTTAAAAGTCAAATGAATTATTTTTTTTAATGATGAAGCAATTTGTCAATATGGATGAATGTGAATAATAAAGGAAAATTATTTTTGTATTTAATTTATTATTGGAAAACTGCTAAGTTTGCTTATGAAAAGTTGAGTATGTGGTTCTATAGTTTCAATAATAATTTCATAAAGGATTAGTACAAAAATATCTTATTTTTATATTGATTATTAAATATTAGTAAAATTAATTTAAACCATTTTACCTTTCATTGATGTTTATGCTAGAAAATTTAAAATTACATATGTGGCTTGCATTTGTAGCTCACATATTTCTAATGAAAAGCAGTGATATAGGTTATTCTTAACTTGTTTTTGGTATGTATGAAATTTCTAGAAAGTTCACTTTAATACATTTTTAAACTAGCTATAAATACTATGTGATCATTTTTTGGAAGCTTTGTGGGAGTTTCAAATAAATTAATTATCATTGGATAGGAAATTTTGGGGATATGTTTTAATGTCAACATACATATTTAGAAATATCCTGGTATATATTTTACTGCCCTGTTTATATTTGAATGTTTTATTATATGTGTAGTTACAACCCCTTGTTAAAAGAGATACTAAGCCCTGACCAGATGGTTCAATTAGTTAGAGGGTCGTCCTAATACACCAAGGTTGTGGGTTCGACCCCAGTCAGGGCAAATACAAGAGTCAAACAATGAATGCATAAATGAATGCAACACCAAATTGATATTTCTCCCTCCCTCTCTCCCTCCCTCTCTCTCTTTCAAATCAATACATTTTAAAAAAGAGATACTAAAAAGAAAGCAAATAGTTAAAAGAGGTTTAATTTATTTGACTGTAAGAAAGGCATTATAATTCCCTTTCAGTTAAAGAAAATATCATAAAAGAAATTAACTGAAAGGCTATTGTGCATCCGCCTCTGAGTTTGGGATTGGGCAGATAGCCATGAAACAAGTTCTCAGAGATAAGTATCTATTGGTAGAGAAAAGCAGAGAGAGGAATTAAAACATGACTTATGCTTTAACAGAAATATACCTGTAACTGTATGGGTGCAAGGGTCAGGGTCCAGCCTGTTCAGATGCTGTCTTCAGTGAGGCAGAGATGTTGGCTCATATCATGAAACCCATTGCACTTGGAGTATTTTCTAAGCCACAGAGATTGCCAGATTGAGGAAATTACAAAGGGAGGTGAATACATCGGCTATTTCTTCAGCCTTGTGCAAGCATGCAAAGTCTTGGCACTCAGAGGCTGCAGCAATGCAACTGAAAATCCTGACTATGGGAAAGTAGCTCCACCAGATTGTTTGTGCTGCCTGACTTACAGCCATGTGGGCGAGCCCATGAAGGATAGAGCCAAATCTTCACCTCCTAGTCCACAGTTCTCTCCAAAAGACTTAAATGTGAGTCATGAAACAATAAAAATCCTAGGAGAAAACATAGAAACAAAATATCGGCTGTCTCATGGAGCAGAACTTTCACTGATACATGGCCTAAGATAAGAAAAACAAAGGAAAAATCAACAAATGGGACTACATCAAAATAAAAAGCTTCTGCATAGCAAAAAGAAACCAGCATCAAAATAAAAAGGGAACCCACTGTATGGGAGAATATATTTGCCAATGATACATCTGATAAGGGGTTAATTTCCAAAATATATAAAGTACTCAAACATCTCAACAAAAAGACGATAAACAAGCCAATTTAAAAATGGGCAGAAGACCTGAATAAACACTTCTCCAATGAGGACATACAAATGGCCAAGGGAAATATTAAAACATGTTCAATGTCACTAATAATCAGAGATGCAAATTAAAATGACAATGAGGTACCACCTTACACCTGCTAGAATGACTATCATCAACAAATCAGCAAACAAGTACTGGAGAGGATGCAGAGAAAAAGGAACCTTAGTACACTGCTGGTGGGAATGCAGACTGCTGGTGGGGTGCAACCACTATGGAAAACAGTGTGGACTTTCCTCAATATATTAAAAAAGAAACTGCCATTTGATCCAGTGACCCCACTTCTAGGAATATAGCCTAAGAAGCCAGAAACACCAATCAGAAAGAATGTATGCATCCCTATGCTCATAGCAGTGAAATTTACAATAGCTAAGATCTGGAAACAACTCAAGTGCCCATCAGTAGATGAATGCATTAAAAACTGTGGTGCATTTACACAATGGAATACTATGCAGGTGTAAAAAAAAAGGATCTCTTACCCTTTGAGATAGCAAGGAGGGACCTGGTGATTATTATGCTAAGTGATATAAACCAGTCAGAGAAAGACAAGTATCACAGGATCCCACTTATATGTGGAATTTAATGAACAAAATAAACTGATGTATAAAAAAGATCCAGAGACATGGAAGCATTCAACAGACTGATGTATTTCAGAGGGAAGGGGGGGGGGGAGTGATTAGCCGATGAATTTATATGCACATATGCATAACTCATGGACAGACGAGAAAGGCCTAGGGAGGGGATGGGAGCATGTTTGGAGGTGTAAATGGGGGTAATAGGGGGACATCTTTAACACTTTCAACAATAAAGGTAAAGTTAAAAAAAATAAAATGGCATTAGAATCTGTAGTGGTCTTTTTTCTTATTTCTGTTATTTATTTTTTTATGAGCCACTTAAGGATTTATCAATTTACCAACCTTTATAAAGGTGGTATAGTCTTTTGTTGATCCTTTTTATATCATGTTTATTTTAATGTCATTAATTAATCCTCATATCTTTATTAATTAGTTTCTTCTACATTTTTTGAGCTTTATTTACCATTTGTAATTATTTGATATGGGTGATTGCATTACTGATTTTCATCTTGAGTAATAGTATCAAATGCACACTTTAAAAATATACATTGTACATGTAGAGATGCAGAAACAACTGGACACCTTTTCAAGTTTCTAAAGTTTGACAGCAATGGATTAATGAGGAATGCTTTCATGATAATACTAGAGGCTCAGTGCACGAAAATATATGCAATGGAGGGGTCCCTCAGCCCAGCCTGTCCCCTCTCACAGTCTGGGAGCCCTCAAGGTATGTCCTACTGATGGCTTAGGGGAGCGGGCCTAAGCCACAGTCTGGCCTCCCTCTGTGGAAGGCAACTGGACTGACCAGGGGAAGATGCTGCCCCCATCACCCCACTGCTGCTGCCACTGCTGGCCGCCACTGCTGCCAGCTCTCCTCGGCCCTCACAGCTGCTGTGGCTTTGTCCGGAAGGACATCCAGAAGACATTCAGTCTATCTGGTCTAATTAGCATATTACCTTTTATTTGTATAGATAATATTTATTTTTTTATGAAGTGGTTTTTAGATCTTATGATGAGTATATGAGTGATTCCATAATTACAAGAACATAACGTTGTTATATCTTTTCGGGTTTTGTACAAAAAATAATATTAGCACTACTGGCCTTCAGCAGAAAGAGAGAAGGATTTTCAGTCTTTAGTCAAGGACAAACTACATGATGTACAAATAATGGAAATGCCCTGGGTAAGAACTCATACAATGATTCCAATGAGATATAGCAGTGGAAATTGCATGTTTAATCAGCAATTTGACCCAAAGAAATATTATCCGTGTTATGTTTTGCTGATAAAAATATCTATCACATTGTGTTCATTGTGGAACTTGCCAAACAAAGCAGTCTCCTATGCCTTTATTGTCTAATATTTGTATTTGGTACTTGCTGTACAAACAGCCTTGTCATTCACTCTGAGGAAGATATTAAACTGATGTGAATACAATAAAAACCAGACCTTTTATAGTTTAGATCATCTGTTTTCTGAAATAGCCAATTATATACACCTAGCACTTGAACGTAAGTCAAAGGGGTTATGCTAAGTATAAGAATCCAGTCTCAAAATAGTATATACTGTATGATTTCAGTTATATTACATGAAAAAACTGTCATGATGGAGGGAGGCCAATGGTTGCCAGGGATGAGGAGTGGAGAAAGAATACGACTGCAAAGGTTCAGAAAGTAAGAGTTTTGGAGGTGGTGGATGTGTTCTGTATCCTGATTGCATAGTAGTTTCACAACTGTACCCATGTGTTAACATTTGGACATAGTTTTATTCCATACAACTATACAATAAAATGTCAATTTTAAAGAATGTTCATTTAAAAAATAATTTGAGTTTCACTTCTGGCCTTGGTGACAACAGACAGCTTCTCTTTTTATTTTCTTTATTTCTTTTTTTTATTGATGCAGTGGTTCTCAACCTTGGGTCGCGACCATCTGAAAACACATATAGCATATCAGATATTTACATTACGATTTATAACAGTAGCAAAATTACAGTTATGAAGTAGCAATGAAAATAATTTTATGGTTGGGGGTCACCACAACATGAGGAACTGTATTAAAGGGTCGCGGCACTAGGAAGGTTGAGAACCACTGGAAATGTGCCATCCTAGACCAGCTGCACAATGTGCTATGAAAGCGGGGACATAACTTCGTGAGGTCAGCAAATAAACGGGAGCTGTAAGCTAAACCAATTCCACAACCCAAAAGGGGAGGGGTAGTTGTCTGAGCTCAATACAACCATTTTTCACCACCATTTCTGAAAACTGCAGTCACTGATCCCGAAGCTCAACAAACCTGAAGTAAGATAAACAGGAAGAAATTATAAAAAGGTACATCACAACCAAATTGCTAAATACAAATAATTGAAAGAAACCACAGGGGGGGGGGATACACAGTATACCAGTTACAGAGATACAAAACTTCACTGAAGAGCAAAATTCTCAGAAACTAGACAAGCTAGAAGATGACAGAATGACATATTTAAAGGATTTGAGAAAAGGACAACTAAAATCATATATTCAGCCAAATTTTCTTTTAATGTAGCCTCGACTGCCCTGGCCAGTGTGGCTCAGTTGAATGAGCATCAACCTGTGCACCAAAAGTTTGCCTGTTTGATTCCTATATTTTGTGATGCCACCAACTCAAGAGGTAGTTTCCAGGCCCTGTGGATTCTAATCACTTTTGTCTTGGAAATGACACACATGAATTATATCTGATCCCTTTGGCTAGCTGGGGTCCCATCACCTTACTTCACTGCTAGAGAAGGGATCTAAAAATTACAGGGGCACATGGATATCCAGTGAACAATCAGTGCCTCCAACACTGTCACTTGGTTTTGCATGATCTCGGCAAAGTATTCATCTTAATCTCAGTTGCTTATCTATGATCTGAGACTAATTAATGAGCTGGGTCTAGTGAGGTTTCAGTGTAAGAGACTCACAGAGGGCGGTCCTGGCTTCACTCCATAGGGCTGAATGCGCTTGTGCATCTTTTGAACTTTCCTCCGTCTGTTTATTGCTCTCTCACATGACAGAAGTACTACTGAGGAGTAAATAAAATTTAAAAGTTTTGGTATACTGACTCGACTACAGAGTTAAGTGCTCAAAAATTGTTAGCTATCTTCATGATTGTGGTATAATTTTAACATAAACTAGTATTGCTTAATGGCGATCAAAGTTGTAGCAAGACAATCAAAAGTTATAGTCCTATAAAAGTTAAGTGAGCCTATACATCTTGCTTTGCAAAAGCTCCCAATACTTTCAAATGATTTGTTTTCCTTCTCTTTGAGATGTGTTATTTGAATCATATACCGGGTTTGTTGAATTTTCCTCAGGCCTTTAAAAAAATAATGAAAGTATTCTGTACCTCATAATATGCAATAAACTGTTTGTTTGCCTAGCCACCCAGTAAGGAGGTTGGACAAGGCAAAACTTGCAAACAGTAAGTGCTGTATGTTTACAGTGATCTTTGACCTCCTACTGTTTATTTCTGAACAGGCAATGAAACGACACAGGGAGCAGTGGAGTTTGTGTTCCGGAAGTTAGGTAACACTTTAAGACAGGTCCAAACCTGGTTATGAAAGTTCTGTCTCTGAATATTTCAAAGTGTATTTGCTGCACTGGCAAGGAGAGCAGACGGGAAACAGCATGGGAAGAAAGACTATATTGCTCCTGTTGGTGGGCATTTTCACGGCATATTATGGTTATACACCTCTCCCAGATAATATTGAGGAGCCATGGAAACTGATTGGGATGACCTTCATATCTAGCACCATATCAAATGTGGTAAGTATAGAATTTTATTGGCTCAATATCTGACATTTTAATCAGGAGAACATATCTGTTGTATTACTTTTCACAACTTCTACTGTCTTGGACGTTTTGCGCTTTAAGTTGCTGATTTTAAAATCTTTCTTATATTTTAACTATTCCTTAAGGCCGACCACTAGCAGAATGAAAATGAAGGAAGTAGTCAAGTAGTTTTGATTTTAAATATTAAAGGACAAATTGTGTCAGCTGAGAAAAACAGAGTCTTCTTGTGAGTTTCATGGCATGAACACAGCCAGAAGGAAGCATGTTAAAGCATGAACTGCAGGAGTGGTAGGACTGAGCAATACTCTGGTTATTTACAACATTCTATGCAATGATCTTGTATTCAGACATGAAAAAGAATCCTTACTGAGATATTTGGAAACAGGTCGCTGGTAAAGGCCAGGGAAATGTGTGATGTCCAGTAGATGGTGAGCTGCTGAGGTGACCAAGCAACTGGCTGACTAGCTGTCCACCATGGCTGGTCCTCAAAGACCTATGGTTCTTTCTGAGTGAAGCTTATTACCTAGAAATGAAACCATTTATTATCTTCTTTAATCTTCTCAGTAGCAATTTGCCTGTAGCAGAAAAAAATAATAATCCAAAGACAATTAATCTGACTAATAAAACTCTTGTTTTTATAGTGCTTTCCTTGCTCCTCCCCCCCCCCACACACTCCCTTTTTAAAGGTATTTTAACAATCTCTTTTGGCATTTAATATAGCTTTGAATCAGTGCAGTATATAACATAGGCACTATTTCTCAGCTTTGATCATCAGAAATTCAACTGTTATTTACGTCCTTAGCTGATAGAGCTTTGTATGACTAAGGTATAAGAAACGATTTTGTCCATACACTGAGGCATATAAATTCCAGAGTTGGACAAAATTTTCCCTCTTTATCATTTGAAATTTCAAATTTACGTCAAAAATTGTTTTTGGATTTTAGAGTCAGTATGAAGAGAGTAAGCTGGTCTGAGATCTTAATCTGCTGCTCTAATTCACAATACTTTGCTAAAAGAAAGAGTCAAAGAAACTTTAAAACCCTAATTATTCAATTCAGACTGCAGAGACACTGGTGATAGTTTTAGCGCACACCAGTGGCTTTTCAGTCTTCAGTTTTATGTTTATCATACTTCATAGTATAATCTAAAAACTTGTGGAATTATAAAGTCACATTAAAAATTTCATACTTTGTACTTTCTTGTACAACATTGCAATTTGTCTTCATAACTAAAGTCCTGTCCTTAAATGGCATAACTTAGTGCCATTCTCTCTCATTTAAAAAATATTTGAAATAGTCTCATTCTTTCAGGATAAATGACTTGAGTCCAGTGATCAATGTTTTGAAAGATGGTCTTGTATTTTCTGTACTTAACTTTGATTTAAAGCCAGAAGGCCAACTAAATTGGCATAAACTACTTTTGTGGGATACATTTTGATGCCTCCTCTACATCATAGGTTGTAGAAATTTTAAATTTATTTGCAAAATTAAGTAAGTAAATGCTGTGACCTGCATCTCAACTTTCTGTGTTAACACTTATGTATGTGATTTCTTCAAAATCACACTGTTAATTGGTTGGAGTGCTTGTGCAAAACTCACACTAGGCAACATGGGGAAGCATAATATAACACTACTAGAGGCCCGGTGCACAAAAATTTGTGCACTGAGGGGGGTCCCTCAACCGGGCCTGTGACCTCTCGAAGTCTGGGATCCCTCGGGGGATGACCACCTGCTGGCTTAGACCCACTCCCAGAGAGATTGGGCCTAAGCTGGCAGTCAGATATCCCTCTGACAGCCCAGGAGCCCTTGGGGGATGTCCACTTGCTAGCGGGGAGCAGGCCTAAGCTGCAGTCGGGCTGCTGAGGAGGCAGGAGAGGCTCCCACCACCACCACTGTACTGGCAGCCGTCAGCCTGGCTTATGGCTGAGCAGAGCTCCCCCTGTGGGAGTGCACTGACCACCAGAGGGCAGCTCCTGCATTGGGCATCTGCCCCCTGGTGGTCAGTGTGTGTCATAGTGACCAGTCATTTCCAGTCTTTCTGCTAATAGGGTCATTTTGCATATTACCCTTTTATTATATAGGATAGAGGCCTGGTGCATGGGTGGGGGCCGGCTGGTTTGCCTTGAAGGGTGTCCCGGATCAGGGTCAGGGTCCCAATGGGGTGCCTGGCCAGCCTGGGTGAGTGGCTGATGGCTGTTTGCAGGCTGGCCACAGCCCCTTCAGGGTGGGGGTCCCTGCTGGCGTGCCTGTCCAGCCTGAGGGCGGGGGCTGATGGCTGTTTGCAGGCTGGCCACAGCCCCTTCAGGGTGAGGGACCCCTGGGGTTCCTGGCCAGCCTGAGTGAGAGGCTGAGGGCCGTTTTCATGCTGTCCACACCCACTTCAGAGTGTGGGGTCCTGCTGGAGTGCCTGGTCAGTCTGAGTGAGGGGCTGATGGCTTTTTGCATGCTGGCCTAGGCCCCCAACCACCCAATTTCCCAGTGGAGGCTGGCTGGAAGCAGGTATCTGGGATTTATTTATCTTCTATAATTGAAACTTTGTTGACTTGAATGGAGGCCACGCGGGCCAGGGCAGGCAGGAAGCTTGGCTTCCTCCATCTCCGGGGCAACCAAGCCTCCTGCTTGCTCCAGCTCCTTGGCTGCCAGCTGCCATCTTGGTTGGGTTAATTTGCATAGAGTTGCACTGATTAGCTGGTGGGCATGGCTTGGGACGTATTCGACGTGTGGTCAATTTGCATGTTTCTCTTTTATTAGATTAGATAGAGATAAAGAGCACAGATGACAGTCCATTGGGGGTTGGAGTCTCCACCCCTTCTGTCACTGTAGAGAGGAGCAGGTAGAGGACACCCTCATGCTAGGGCCCGGTCAGCATGTGGAGCTGTCTGGCTGGCTGGTGTGGCACAGTGGTTGAACGTCGACTTATGAACCAGGAGGTCACGATTCGATTCCTCTTCAGAGCACATGCCCAGGTTACTGGCTTGATTGCCAGTGTGGGGCGTGCAGGAGGCAGCCGATCAATAATTCTCTCTCATCATTGATATTTCTATCTCTCTCTCCCTTTCCCTTCCTCTCTGAAATTAAATATATTTTTAAATGTATTTCAAAGCTCATAATGAACTGAAGCCTAGATTCTTCCAAGTTGTAATATCACAAGAATTCTTTAAATATCTTTTTTTTTAATCTGACGCAAGTATTATGGTAAAGATTCTGAATCTCGAATATTTCTGTGTCATTCAGATTCAGCTGTGGTAACAGGACACAGGGCTCGTGGGAGCATATATGCATATTTCTATGTTCATAAACAACACTGGCATCTATTGTTTGTAACCTGGGATGGTATTTGTTTTCTTTCTTCCCTTTTAGGCCCTGGTTGGTGAAGTCCTGGGAATCAACCATTTCATGAACACTTTAATGTTTTTTAAGAGCTTTCAAGATGTCCCACCCACATCTGATGAAATTGTCACTGTGATGGACACAACTTTCAGCAATGTTCCTGTCCGTGTATATGTACCAAAGCGAAAGTCAGAGGCCCTAAGAAGGGGCTTATTTTACATTCATGGTGGCGGTTGGTGTTTGGGGAGTGCTGGTAGGTACCCCTTGTTGCAAATTTTTCTTATCATATAGCATACATTTTATTAATATATTTATTCTGACATTGAAGTTATGTCAGAGTAAACATATTAATAAAATGTATGCTATATGATAAGCATATATTAATTAATTATCACAGATAACAGAATACCTCAGCTCTCTGAAATTTCTTTAGTTGGAATTAAGTTAGTTTAAAAAATTACTTTAAATTTATTTCTCAAAGGAAATAAATATTCAAAGCTGTAGCAAATCTCAGGTAAGGAAAAAAACTTTCATGAACATAGAAATTTATTAGTAAAATTGTTAATTGCAAATAAGATGGAATGTTGCAAAGAAAACCAAAATTAAGTGAGTTGAAGAGTGGAGGAGAAGTGAGGAAATGAAGATGGCAATGGCAATCTTTTAATAAATTTAGATATGAAGGAAAGATGAAGTTTTAGACAGAAAAGAAGCACAGAGTTGAGTAAGTGTACTTTATTTTTATTTTATGTAAAATATATGTACAGCCTGGCAAGTGTGGCTCAGTTGTTTGGAAGGTCTTCTCGTGCACTGAAAGTTTGCCTGTTCAATTCCCTGTCAGGGCTCATACCCAGGTTATGAGTTTGAGCCCTGCTAGGAGCACATATAAAAGGCAAGGAATCAATGTTTCTCTCATACATTGATGTTTCTCCCTCTCTTCCTCTCTCTCTCTCTTTCTTCCTCTTCCCCTATCTTTAAAATCAGTAAAAGCAAACATATGCTTGGGTGAAGTTTAACAAAAATTAAAATGCACATTTTAATTTATTTTATGCACTCACTTTCTATATTTCTACAAATAAATCTAAAATATATCATTTTATTATATGCAATATAAATTTTATATCTTATATAAAGTTTACATATATATTTATGTTTAAATACATATTTTATATTTATATATGGAAGGTCTATGGACGAGTTTATAAGCTGAAGGTAAAGATAGCAATAAATACTTTTAACCGGTTTGGCTCAGTAGACAGAGCAAGGGCTCTAGACCAGAGGTTCTCAAGCTGTGGGTCGCGACCCTTTTGGCGGTCAAAGGACCCTTTCACAGGGGTCGCCAAAGACCATCCTGCATATCAGATATTTACATTACGATTCATAACAGTAGCAACATTACAGTTATGAAGTAGCAACGAAAATAATTTTATGGTTGGATCACAACATGAGGAATTGTATTTAAAGGTCCAGAAGGTTGAGAACCACTGTAGACTGAAGGGTCCCTGGCTGGATTCTGTCCAAGGGAATGTACCTTGGTTACAGGCTCAATCCCCAGTAGGGGACAGGCAAATGGCAGCTGATCGGCGTTTCTCTCTGGATGTTTCTAACTCTCTATTCCTCCCCCTTCCTCTCTATAAAAATCAATAAAAATATATTTTCAAAAAGAAAAAAAAAAGATACTAGCAGTAAATAGAAGTGTGTTGAAATGTGGGAGGAGGCACGGGAGGACAGGATGAAGTTGCCTGACCTACAGGATGTGGGAGGGAACTGGACTCCCTACCAAGGGGAGTATTGACACCACACACAGGGAGAAACCTAACTTTCTCTGTTATGCTTCCTCTCTGTTTTCAGGAGGGGAAAAAAGAGGTAACGATGAGTACTGATGTAGATTGGAAATGTAAATTGGAGCAGCAAAGGGTGTGATCCTAATATTGTCTATAAATTCAGGCAGTGAAGTCATCAGCTGGCAATGAAGTGATGTTTTTAAGACTAAATCTGAGAAAAAAAATCTGACTGTGCCACTATGCCATACCTCAGTTAGTTTCCATGAGTTCCTGCTGCCCAAAGCAGTCCCTTAAAAAATCTTTCCATCAATGTTTCCCTAAAGAGTTGGGAGCATGCTACCCTAGCTGGTTTTGCTCAGTGGATAGAGCATAGGCCTGCGGACCAAAGAAGCCTGGGTTTGATTCCCATCAAGTGCCCATTCCTTGTTTGCAGGCTCCTCCCAGCCTGGGGCTTGGTGGGTGTATGTGCAGGAGGCAACCAATTGTTTTTCTCTCACATCAATGTTTCTCTCTTTCTTTACCCCTCTTTTCCACTCTGCCTAAAAATCAAAGGGAGTATATCCTTGAGTGAGGATTAACAAGAACAAAAAAGAGTGGGAGCATGCTTACCAAGGTAAAAAAACTAAATAAGAATAAACTCTGAAGCAAATAGTATTTACGTGATGCTTTCTCTTTCAATATTAAAGAAAATTATACTAAAAATGTGTGTCCTAATCCAAAATACAAGCATGATTTTGCATAGTAAATGTTAAATAAAAGTTTAAAATTTAGTGTGTATTTTACATTTGAAGACTAGTCAGCACCCAACTTTGGAAACATCACAAGAGAATATCTACTCCTTTTTTTATGGTCCACAGGATGTACCTTTTGTGACAACTTTATATCCTGATATTTCCCATCAGTACTTTATGATCTCTCCCTCCTCTTGTTACTGGCAAATCCTATTTTGTTTTCTTAAATTTTCCTTCTTAGCCAAAGGAAGCACTTTTCCAAGCACAATAGCAAACAAGTATGACCCCTCTCCACCCCATCCATATTCATGGCCAAAATCACTCCACAGAACACATATCTTCTCATCTGCCTTGGAAATACGAATGCCAACATCAGGTCTCAGCTCTCCCCATTCCCTTTTACTCTTCTTTAACATGCTCTGGCAATTTTTATGAAATCTAATACTATTCCACAGAACCCTCTCTACCCCTCCATTAAAGCAACTAGTATATTGCTTTTAGTTTACACGCTTGACCTTCCCAGCTCCTGTCTCCAGTAGGCTGTGACCTCCTGAAAGTCAGGGAGGTATATTGATGTTTATTCATTCAACTCCTAACACCTGCTGATTGACGAGAGCACAGTTTAATCTTGAGAAGAGTGAAACTGCTTAAATTATACAGTGTAAGATGTGGGGAAGAACAAGAAACCTGACAATGTGCATGTAACAGGATCACTGAGCAAGAGAATTCATGTTCTGTAGCTGTGATGAAATAGTAGAAATTTTTTTTCCAAAACATTTTCATGAAGAATGAGGTGTCGTAGTAGGTTTTTTGCTGGGGGAAAAAATGTCTGTCAATTTATTTGTCAGTCTCTGATTTTCTATTCGTTTATTTCAGCTCAGTATTCTTATGATGTGCTGTCAAGACGAACAGCTGATAGACTTGATGCTGTTGTCATTTCAACCAAGTAAGAGCACCGTTGGTTGGTGTGGGTTTGGGCCAGGTGCCTTATATAGTGAGATGTTTTCCGATGTTCTGATCATCCCATGGGTATGCCGGGTGTGTTTCAAATGGAAATCAGAGGATGAGAATAGAGAAAGTGAGCTTGGGCATGACCAGCAAAGAGACTGAGGGGAAAGAGTTGGAGAGGTGGGTCAAGTGGGGATCAAAAACAGGATGTCAAGAAATCGCTGGAATACAATTAAAATATTAAATTTTATTGACTAATGACCTTTGTTGGATTTCTCACCTACTCTTAGCAGAGCGAATAAGGAGGGCTTCAGAGTCAGAGGTTCAGGCTCAAAATTTGGTTCTAGAATTTACTGAGTGACTGTGACAGTTAAATCTCATATTAACTCCATTTTCTCATATGTAAACTGGGATTCATATAATATTTCCTATGTCATAGAGTTATTTTGAAAATCAAATAGTAGTAAAGTATGTTTAAAGCAATTAGTATAGTATATTTTGTGGTATAATTCTTCATCAAAAGCAAGTAGTCACTAAATAACCTGGGAATACAGGCACAGTCTATTATAAAATGTATTCTAGATCAATAATCAATAATAGAAAATGAAAAAAACACATAGTAATGACTGCATCCCAACTTGATCATTAGGTTAAGTTGGAATAAAATTGTTTAATATTTGTTTAATATTTTTTGGTTAGTAATAAAGTATAATGATTACAAAGAAAATAACATTCTGGAAGAAGTTTAGGTAGTTATCATCTGGGATTTTTTTTCCTTAATCCCCATCCAAGTTCTGCATTCAGGCCTCTACTCATGCAAAAATGACATTTGTGAAAGTTTTCATATCCAGCATTATCATTAGGATTAAGTCTTGCTTTAGATTCGTTGTAATTCAAAATATGTTTGCTAAAGAAAAAATTTTACTTTTGATTTTAAGGCAAGAGCATGTACACAAATGAGTATGGACACACACACACACACACACACACACTCATTCATTTTTATTATAAATATTGACTTAAAGAAAATTGTTTTTCTACCCACAGCTATAGACTAGCACCTAAATACCACTTTCCAAATCAATTTGAAGATGTGTATAATGCATTAAAGTGGTTCTTACGCAAAGATATTCTTAAAGGCTATGGTGTAGATCCCAAAAGAATTGGTATTTCTGGAGACAGTGCTGGAGGAAATTTAGCTGCAGCAGTGACTCAACAGGTATGTTGCTTAGATTTGTTTCATTTTTAAAAATATCCTACACTTAAATTTATTTATTTAAAACATTAAAATATTAATGCAAATATGTTATATTAATACATAGAGATCATATCAGAGAACATTAATATATCTAGTACCTCTAATCCTACCTCCTGCCATATTTGTAGAAATAAAATGATAAAATCTTCTTTCTACTGTAGATCATTGGTTTAAACCTAATTGGTATGGTCAGGTAAGTACCACAGTGTTTGTTATATTAGGGGATTGCACTTGTGAAATCAATCAGTGACACTAATCACCATGATCAGAGAATCAGATGATTTCAGTATTCTTTAGTGGAGTATGCTAAAACGTGCATGAAAACTGTTACCAGAATAATAAAGTTGCCTATGGACAAAAAAGTTACCAGGTTCACAAATACTCTTCACTTGCAGAAGGAACTATACTTTTCATATATCAATTAATAAACTATTTCTACGACATTTAGCTAAAACTAGACAGCTATTAAATATGGATTTAATGTGGTAATAATTAATTATAATTAGTCTAGTAGATTATGAGTAAAATTGCTTTGGATACTGGTTTATCTAACCTAAGAAATAAACTCAGCACTGATGGCTTGGAAGCAATGTTCCTGTAGAGAAAAAAATTCTAATGTATTTACAAATAAATATCTACAATTTAATTCTAATCATAAATATTGCACATAAATTTATTGTGCTATAAAACAAACTTTGCTGTTGTTTTTATTGTTTATTTTCATACACATTTTAAAGTATATACATTTTGGCTATTGGTAGTTGTAGGATAATCATCTTGTTTTCAACAAAAGAAAAGATACCAAAAATTATGTGCACATAGCCTACACAGGATGCACCTAGTGTGCCCAGCTCAGGTGACTTGGGAGGCTGAGCCACTGGGCCCTACAGGACATCTAGTACACAAGGCCACTCTACCAATTCCAGGAGACATAACCGCTCTACCCAATACATAGAAACAAACATAGGAAAACAGCCAAAATGGGAGACAAAGAAACATCACAAATGAAATAACAGAAGAAATCTCCAGAAAAAGTGTTATGCCCAGATTTCAAGATCCCCATTAGACCACACCAGGGAGCCAGCCGAGTCCAATTCAAAAGCAGAGAGTCTTTTATTTGAACTAGTTAGGCTCACTGACCACACTCACCAATGCAAAGGTAAGCCAAGTGGCAGAGAGAGGTGTAGCCCAGCGTGAAGAGGAGTTTTATAGGGGGGTGGAGTCAGGGAAGGAGAGGGGACTGTGGGCCATACCGAATGGCCAGGCGCAAGTCGGTGTCTTGTTCCTGGGTGTAGCTAGCAGAGGCTTAGACTTCCGGGAAGAAGCTCCTTGCCAAGCACATGGCTGCCCCAAAATGGAGGACACAGGGTAATATGGAGGGCGTAGTCCTCGCCCTTTCAAAAGAACTAAATTAAATGGAAGCAAACAAACTATAAGATAGAAAGTTTGAAACAATAGTTATATGGATGCGCAATGATTGAATAAGAGCTTCAAGAGACTTAGTGGGAATTTCAAGGATCTTAGTGAGAATTTCAAAGAGATGAAAAAGAACCAGTCAAAAATTAAGCATTCACTAACTGAAATAAAGAATAATTTACATGGATTCAACAGTAGAGTAGAGGATTCCAAGAATCAAATCAGTGATTTGGAATATAAGGAAGCAAAAAACCCCTAAGCAGAAGACAAAAAGTAATCCAAAAACAAGAAGGTAGTGTAAGGAGCCTCTGGGACAACTTCAAGCATACCAACATTTGTATTATGAGGGTGCCAGAAAGAGAAGAGAAAGAGCAAGATATTGAAAACCTATATGAAGAAATAATGACAGAAAACTTCTCCTATCCAGTGAAAGAAATAGACTAATAAATCCTGGAAGACCAAACAAGATGAACCCAAAGAGAGCCACACCAAGACACATCATAACTAAAATGTCAAGGGCAAAAGACAAAGAGAGAATATTAAAAGCAGCAAGAGAAAAAGCAGTTAGTTACCTACAAGGGAGTGCCCATACAACTGTCAGCTGATTTCTCAACAGAAACTATGCAGGCCAAAGGAAGTAGCAAGAAATATTCAATATGGTGAATAGCAAGGACCTACGACCAAGTTTACCCAGCAAAGCTATCATTTAGAATTGAAGGTCAGATAAAGAGCGTCACAGATAAAAAAAAAGCTAAAGGAGCTCATCACCACCAAACCAGTATTACATAAAATGAAATGTTGAATGGTATTTTTGAAGGAGAAGAATAAGAGGAAAAGAAGAAAAGAGAAGAAGAAGAAGAAGAAGAGAAAGAAGAAGAAGAAGAAGAAGAAGAAGAAGAAGAAGAAGGAGAAGGAGAAGGAGAAGGAGAAGGAGAAGGAGAAGGAGAAGGAGAAGGAAGAGGAGGAGGAGGAGAAGGAGGAGGAGAAGGAGGAGGAGAAGGAGGAGGAGAAGGAGGAGGAGCAGGAGGAGGGAAATAAATACTATCTATCAGCAATTGCATCTAAAAATCAAAATAAGCAAACAAGGAATCTAATGAACAAAATAAACTGATGAATAAAATAGTACTAGAGGCCTGGAAACAAGGAACAGATTAATGAATCTCAGAGGGAAAGGGGTTGGGGGTAGGGGCAGGAAAAGATTAACCAAACAATTCATATACATATATGCATTTCCTAAGGACACAGACAATAGAGTGGTGAAGGTGTGGGGCAGGGCAGGAACCAGGTGGATGGGGGCAATGGGGGAAACAAAGAAAAACATTTGTAATACTCTCAACAATAAAGATTTTTTAATAAAAGAATGAAGGAGAAAAAAGAAAAATTCAGATAAGCTAAATCTAAGAGAACTTGCTATTAATGGAACACCCTAAGACTACTTTGAGTGAAGTGTTTCAGATGAAATGAAAATGCAGATGAAATTTTAACATGCAGGAAGAACCAAAGAGGAAGAATGTGGAATAATGTGAGTAAATCTTAATAAACTTGAATATTTTAAAATAATAAGATATATATAGACTTAGAATATGAAAAAAAACTATAAGTTAAGGAGTGGATAGATTTTAAATCTTATAAGGTATTTTTTATCATCTAAGAAGAAATAAAGACTTAGAATTGGCTTTTGATAAGTTCATTAGTCTTTGAGAAGTTAAGAATACATATTTCAAGGTTTAGGGTAATCAATTAAAGAATAAAAACAGGGTATAACATAACCGACTACAGGAAAAAAAATAGAATAATTGAAAGATCAACCAACATGAAAGAATGCAAAAAATAGAGAAAAAAGAAAAAGAAGATGCACAAAATAAGGTGTTGGTCACAACTAATTATTTCAGTAATTATAACCATTTGTGTTCTAAATGATCTTGCTGTCATACGAAGATTATCAGATTAAAAAATAAATAAGCAGAAAATTTGAAAGCAAATGGATGGAAAATGTACACACTGTAATAATATTTAAAAGAATTGCTAGATAAATAAGATCACATCATTTCAGAAAAGGTTTCAATGGCCAAGGAAATAAAACTCTAAATCTATATGGATTTAATAACATTAAATACATAGGAGAATGACAGGAGAAAACACAAGTTTCTGACCACAACAAGAGGTTTAATAATACTACTTTTAGCTATGAAGAGAACAGTGGGCAAAAATAACAAATATATAGAGGAGTGGAATAACAATCAATGTTTCATTCAGTGGAACAGGCAAATAAGCAAGTACATGTGATCATTTTTAAAATTCAACCAAGTACTGGGCCATAAAAAAGCCAGTCTCAAAAAAAATCACAGAATTTAAATTGCGCAACATTTGGACTTTTACTATAATGAAATAATGTGGGAAATCAACAAGAAAAAAACGAATAACATATGCTTCTATGGAAATTTGGAAATTTTAAAAAATAGACTAAAAACCTATGAGTCACTATTTAAAAGAACGCATCTTTTTATATGTTCTCTACATTTAGAACTATATTTATAGGAAATTGTACTTTGTCAAAAGCATGTTAGAAAATAAGAAAGGCTGAAATAAGCATCCGACTTAAGAAATAAAGTCAATAAAATGAAGATAATGACAAGAACAGAAATTATGATATTCAAACAAGCTCAGAGTAAATATAACAAAAAGCAAAAAGTTAATTCATTGAAAGGACTAATAGAATTTTAATTCTCTGAAAAGACAGTTGAGGAATAACAATAGTTAGGTACAAATATCAGGATTGAGAAAGGGATAACTCTTCAGACAAAAAAAATAGTCTTTAATGAGTTAAGAGTGCACATTGTAATTCTTGAAAGCAATATTTGAACAACTTTGAAATTAAAACATCTAATAATATTTTAATTGAATTAAATAAAAATATATCATGCAAAACAGACAGGATAAGAAATGAAAACCTGTCATTTTATAATCAAAAAATAAATTACATAAATAATAAAAAAAATAGTTCCACTAAGAAACTTCACTGGCAATTTGCTTCAAACATTTAAGAAGAAATAAATCCAAAATAAACATAAAATATGCCAGAGAATGGGGAAAATATGTACACTCTTCAGTTTTTTTTCAGAGAAACATGGTATTTATGACCAACTAATCACATATTAGTCTTTTTCCCTACCCATGAGGAGAGCAGCAAAAATTGTTTTGTTTATATTTATAGTATTTAAGTGTAGATACTGAATCTTAGGTATAATATTGAAAATTGGCAAGTTCTATGAGATATATTTTTTATTATTTCTGACTATCTTTTTGAAATTTTGAATTTATCATATTAGCCTCATAAATGAAAATATATAATATTAGTGAAAATTGTTATTTCAACAACTTACTTTAAATAATTTTCAGCTCATAGATGATCCAGATGTCAAGATCAAACTCAAGATCCAGTCTTTAATTTATCCTGCCCTTCAGACTCTTGATATGGATTTACCATCTTTACGGGAAAACTCACAGATTCCACCTCTGCCCAAATCACTCATGGTCAGGTTTTGGAGTGAATACTTTACCACAGACAGATCACTTGAAAAAGCCATGTTCGTCAATCAACATGTACCAGTGGAATCAAGCCACCTCTTCAAGTTTGTTAACTGGAGTTCTTTGCTCCCAGAGAATTTTAAGAAAGGGCACATTTATAGCAGTCCAACTCATGGTCCTTCTGAGCTAGCTAGAAAGTATTCAGGGTTTCTAGATGTAAGGGCAGCCCCCTTATTGGCTGATGACAACAAGTTGCGTAACTTACCCTTGACCTATGTAATCACCTGTCAATATGATGTTTTAAGAGATGATGGAATCATGTACGTCACCCGACTTCGGAATGCTGGAGTGAGGGTGACCCATAACCACATTGAGGGTGGATTCCATGGAGTAATGACTTTTCCTGGATTTAAAATTGGACATAGAGTAGAAAATCAGTATCTGAGTTGGCTAAGTGAAAATCTATAGTAAAAATCTTAGCAGTGGTTTATAAGAATATATGAGCCTCAAATATAAAACAAATTAGTGAGATTCAAAAGGTTATGTTTAAATTTCTCTTTATCACTCGTGACCTTTCTAAGGTCCTCTGAACCACTGTGATCTTTTCTTGTTGTTGTTTTGGGGGTTTTTGTTTATTTGTTTGTTTGTTTTGTTTGCTTTTTTACTGAGTGGATTCTTCTCTATTTGTTATTCTAAGTGTTGTTTACTCACATCTGTATCTTAGAAAATGTCTACATTCTTAAATATTTTTTCTTGCTACTAAAGTGCCTAAGAGACCACTGATATTAATTTTGGTATCCTAGAACAGAAATAGGCTTGCTCGCATAGAAGTGGATTTTATAGTAATAGGTGGCATCATATTGAAGCAAATACTTTGAAAAACAGTTGGCACAGAAATCATATTAGTGACCTACAAGGTGGTTTCAAGGCACTAAATTCATTTCAGTAAAAGCTCTGGTATTTTACAAGCCAGATGTGTTTGTTTAAACCTTTTTCTCAACAATAATACTATTAGACAATAAAAAAAACTAAGGCTGTAAATTTCAGCTATAAGAAATGAGTAATGTAGTCTGTTTTAAAGAAAATGCCAAGTTTATTATAAAATATGTATGGAAATAAAATGGATATCAAAAAACATGATTTTTGTTTTGAGGAAACAAATTTGGTGGATTTATAGATTGCAAAACAATATAAAGCTACCATAGTCATGATGGTATGGTATTTCAATACAGATAAGCAACTAGATAATACAACAGAATCCAGAAACCATTTCATATATTTAGAGTCAATTGTTGAGATAAAGTTGCCAAGGTAATTCAATTCCAAAAGTGTTATATATATTTTAAATGGTGATTAAACATTTGAATATTCATATAAAATGCCCTTAACCCTGACCTCGACTTACTTCACATTATAGATAAAAATTAACTCAAAGTGACTCATTGATCTAAATATAAAAACCCAAATTTAAAAATTTCTATAATTTTTATTTTTTTAGATAGGACTACATTTTACTTGAACTATTGCATCATATTAGCGCTATCATTGTATTGTAGTGTCAGCTGTGTGGACTATTTCCAGTATTATACAAAAAACACAGTCTAGGCACTGTCAACAGGCTGACTCAGTACAAATGATTTTTTGAACACTGATGTAGCATTGTAATGTGTGTATTTTAATATTTTATGAAGAAAGCAGGAGCTTTGTGATATTTTTGTAAATATTAATTGGAAATTACATTGAAATAGTTAATTATTTTATTTATAATTCAGTCCTTTTTCTAGTTTGAAAAAATAAGTTGGAAATATTTTAATGCCTAAAATGAATATATAAGACTAATGCAGCCCTAATTGGTTTGGCTCAGTGGATAGAGCATTGGCCTGCGGACTGAAGGGTCCCAGGTTTGATTCCGGTCAAGGGTATGTAGCTTGGTTGTGGGCACATCCCCAGTAGGGAGTGTGCAGGAGGCAGCTGATCAATGTTTCTAACTCTCTATCCCTTTCCCTTCCTCTCTGTAAAAAATCAATAGACTAATGCAGTCAAACAGAGATGCATAAGCTAGTGCAGCTCCTGAAAGAGCTACAAAAAGACAAGATTGGAAGAAAGTATATTGAAAACTTTATAACAAGTGGCAGCTGAAATTTTCTGTAGCAGAGAAAAACAAGAGGCTACTTGTCTGTTGTATAAAACAAATTGTGAAAATAATAAAGTGGATAATATGAATAGACATAGTAGCTAATGCATAATTTTAATAAGTTCCTTTTCAAAAGTTAAAAAAATTAACACATTTACCTGAAAACAGAATTAAATTTTCAAGAAAATGTTTGTAAGTTATTTTTAATGTGATCTGAGTTTATAACTTTGGCCAACTATAGTTTGGATTCTTATACAAAAAAAAAATTATTTTTAGATGGAGAAGTGGTAATAGATATAATTACAGTGTTTGTTAGAAAATTATGAAATAAAGGCTAAAATAATTGTTTAGAAAAGTGAAATATTTTAAATTAAGACACCACACAATTATATGTAGAATGCAAAATATTTATAAAAATACCAAAGATCAGTTAATTAAAAATTTGGAAAAGTACAAGCCCTTTAGTTTTAGATGAGTGTGTGATATGAGACACTGCCCAATTAATACTCTGGGTATGTTTTGTCTCAAAAATACTCCAAATTCACACACACACACACACACACACACACACACACATATATGTCTACTTGTGACCAAAACTATTGAACTCATGACATAGATATGTTTGAATATTTTGAATCCATCAAAAAATAATTTTAACTAGTCATGTAAAAAATTATCATCACAGAAAGTGCTCTAGCTAGGTGTGTTAGGCAAGATTCAACACTTAATGGAATTTTAAAACAAGAGACAATGTTTCCCTACTGCTTCATTCCCCTGTGTGGTATCTACTGAAAGGGTTTGGCTCAGCTTTCTGAAAATAACTCTGAAAAGTACCATGGATACTCCTTTTAAAATTTTTAGTATATATGTGGAAATGTTATGAATTACTGCTAATTTATGAATCTATTGAAAATAATAGAATATAATGATTTTAATCCTCTTGTGGTCTTTAAAAAATGCTTGTTGTTGAGTCCTTAGAGAGTTTTACAAAGATTTATTATACCATTCACTTCAAGGTTTTCTTGAAACAAAAGGAATGTTTGCCAAATGTACAATTGTATTGTATAAAAAATGGCAGTGTGACTTGTTTCTCATATGAATAAGCAAACTCTGAAGCTCCAACTAAAGAAAAGCTTACCTGTGACCTAGCTAGACAGGTGCCAAATTTTGTATCGAAATATACACTTTTTATTATCAGAATCAGTGATAATGGTTTGTGCACATTTCTAACAGGAATCAATATACAGAGGTGTTAATATACAATTGAAATAATTATGTAAATTGGCTGCAAAAAGGACAAGAAATATTGGAGAACATGTCATAGCTATTGATAAATTTGGAGCTGCTTTTCAATTTAGTCATTACTCCTTTAATTTTAGTGTTAATTATATTGAGTTGACACAAGAGTTTTTAAATTTACTTACATTGGATAAATATAGTTTTGAAACTGATACGTTTTTGCTTAAAAGTCAAATGAATTATTTTTTTTTAATGATGAAGCAATTTGTCAATATGAATGAATGTGAAAATAAAGGAAAATTATTTTTGTATTTAATTTATTATTGGAAAACTGCTAAGTGTGCTTATGAAAACTTGAGTATGTGATCCTATAGTTTCAATAATAATTTCATAAAGGATTAGTACAAAAATATCTTATTTTTATATTGATTATTAAATATTAGTAAAGTTAATTTAAACTATTTTTACCTTTCATTGATGTTTATGCTAAAAAATTTAAAATTACATATGTGGCTTGCATTTGTAGCTCACATATTTCTAATGAAAAGCAGTGATATATGTTATTCTTAACTTGTTTTTGTTATGTATGAAATTTCTAGAAAGTTCACTTTAACACATTTTTAAACTAGTTATAAATACTATGTGATCATTTTTTGGAAGCTTTGTGGGAGCTTTAAATAAATTAGTTATCATTGGATAAGAAATTTTGGGGATATGTTTTAATGTCAACATACATATTTAGAAATATCCTGGTATATATTTTACTGCCCTGTTTATATTTGAATGTTTTATTATATGTGTAGTTACAACCCCTTGTTAAAAGAGATACTAAGTCCTAACCAGATGGTTCAGTTAGTTAGAGGGTCGTCCTGATCACCAAGGTTGTGGGTTCGACCTCAGTCAGGGCAAATACAAGAGTCGAACAATGAATGCATAAATGAATGCAACACCAAATTGATATTTCTCCCTCTCGCTCTCCCTTCCTCCATCTCTTTCAAATCAATACATTTTTAAAAAGAGATACTAAAAAGAAAGCAAATATTTAAAAAGAGGGTTAATTTATTTGACTGTAAGAAAGGCATTATAATTCCCTTTCAGTTAAAGAAAATATCATTAAAAAAATTAGCTGAAAGGCTATTGTGCATCCGCCTCTGAGTTTGGGATTGGGCAGATAGCCATGAAACAAGTTCTCAGAGATAAGTTTCTATTGGTAGAGAAAAGCAGAGAGAGGAATTAAAACATGACTTATGCTTTAACAGAAATATACCTGTAACTGTATGGGTGCAAGGGTCAGGGTCCAGCCTGTTCAGATGCTGTCTTCAGTGAGGCAGAGATGTTGGCTCATATCATGAAACCCATTGCACTTGGAGTGTTTTCTAAGCCACAGAGGTTGCCAGATTGAGGAAATTACGAAGGGAGGTGAATACATCGGCTATTTCTTCAGCCTTGTGCAAGCATGCAAAGTCTTGGCACTCAGAGGCTGCAGCAATGCAGCTGAAAATCCTGACTATGGGAAAGAAGCTCCCCAAGATTGTTTGTGCTGCCTGACTTACAGCCATGTGGGCGAGCCCATGAAGGATAGAGCCAAATCTTCACTTCCTAGTCCACAGTTCTCTCCTGCTTCCCATCATACAACCAGTGACCCTGCCAGGCTGAGGCACTTCATTGCAATATTAACAATTGTCATGTTTCTGAAGTCTTATGGGCATGCATTATGATTTCTGTCAGTGCTGGCCTTGTGTCTTTCTGCTGCAATATATATCACTTTAGTTAAATTCCTTTGGACCATCAACAACGAATGAGAACCCATTTGATAGATGAGTTGGAGTCAAGCTAATTTTCCAGGATAGGGTGAGAAGATTGAGGGGAGGAAATGCAACCACTTTCATACTGGTTTCTCTTGTGTGAGATTTTTAAAAATATATATTTTATTGATTTCAGAGAAGAAAGGAGAGAGAGAGAGAGAGAGAGAGAGAGAGAGAGAGAGAGAGAGAAACATCAATGATGAGAGAGAATCATTGATCAGCTGCCTCCTTCACGCCCCCTACTGGGGATCGAGCCCACAATCCAGGGATGTGCCCTTGACCAGAATCAAACCTGGGGCCTTTCAGTCTGCAGTGCTCTATCCACTGAGCCAAACCGGCTAGGGTTCATGTGAGATTTTTTTACAATATCCACAATATTTCAAGATTTGAGCAGATTTCTGAATCCTTAGGTATTAATTAAAATGCTGAGATGAACTCATTGAGAATCCTATACTCTCAAATTGCAACCTTTGCTAAGCATGTGAGAAAAGCTTTAATTTATGATTGGAAACATATTTAAATATTAACACTTCATTGCTTAACAGAAAATAGAATCCTAGATTTCAGATATAATTTAAATTCTAAATGCCAAATATTTTGGGAACTTATTTATAACTGCAACATATGTCCTGCCTGGGTGAAAGTTTCTTTGAATCTGAGTGAAACTGAATTCAGAAAAAAACAGAAAAAGTTGAGAATTTGCTTTACCAACAAACTCTTATGTCAGTATTCTTACAGTGTACTGTAGGAAGGGTTGGTGTGTCATTATTTTTATTTCCTTGTTTGTTCTCTAGTACACAGATCCTTGTAAGGGAAATAGCCTTTCCTAACATACTTGCCCTAGGCACCATGCTTCTCTGTTCTCAACCTTTGCTCACGATAAGGAGGAAGACTTTCCCCATCAATTCATTCTTGGAAGTGCATCTTGTTTGAATCTTATGTAATGTGCGTTACCTAAAAAGAGCAGTGTGATCCAGGTGGACAGAGGGCGGCAGGGGCGGGGAGGGGGAGATCAACAAAATTGTTTTCATGCTCGTGTAAAAGCTTTATGTCTTTAATTCATAGACTTCCACTTAGAAGACATGATGCTTTTTATCTATTTTTAATGGACTAATAATCCATCCACAATCAAGGTGCAGGGAGTCTTGATTTCCATTGGTCACTATGCCTTTATTCAACTCCACTTTCTGCACTGTACAATCTTTGCCTTTTCTATGCGGCCACCCAGTTTGCAGGAGCAGTTTCTAGGGCTTGTGCATTAAATTGCTGCTCTTCATTGTTCAATCCAGCAGTTTAGGCAACACCAAGGAGTACATATTTTTTAAATGGGCAATGGATTAAGTCAGATCCATCTGAGCATAAATATAGATTGTGTTCCTTTCTCACTGTAATGTTAATAATAATGTAGTATACAGTGATAAGAATAGCAATTACAACATTACCATTTATTGAGAACCTAGTAGTTAAATTCAAATGACCCTATTCAATATAAATTAATATGCCTTTATTATAAATGAAATTATTGCATTAAGGATAACCTAAGAAATTTCTCGGTGATCATACAAGTAGTGAATCATACAGGTAAGTTTCAATTACAACATCTTTTAAACGAGGAGCATAACGCAGCCTTATTCTAGTGTTTAAACAATAAGCCCCTTGAGTACATAGGCTGTGATTGAACAGAGGAGGACTGGCTTAGCTTTCTTTCCATCGGTCTTTCTCAGAACTCCAGCTTCTGGATGTCTAGCACACGTCAAAATTTTGATTACATTGGAATTGAACTGGCCTCAAAGTGATGGACGCCAGAGTGCACCCTGCTAGAATTCCTGCTGAAGTCCATTGATCCTAGCATTCTTTCTGCATAGGGCTTTTGAATTCCTTTCTTCCTTCTTGGGACTATGTAAATGAAAGGTAGAGGTTGGTTAGATAGAATTCACTAGGGCTTCCAGCTCACACAGTGAAACGCATCAAAAAACAACCTGCTCACAATTGCAATTTTTTTAAAACGCACACACACACGATGGGGGAGAATCTCTTATGGTGTAATCTGGGGAGAAGAGCAGCTGCTGAAGAAGAGTGACGGAGGTACTTCAGGACCTTCCTCCGCTGTGTCTCTTAGAAAGGAAAACTTTTCATGAGCAGGAGACAGGGCACTAGGGAGAACTCACTGCAGCTGCCATAAGGGAACCGAACTCAGCAGCAGCAACAAAAACTTTCTACACTGCGGGAGAGGCAGCATTTAAATGGAAAATGTTACAGTTAATAAAATAGTCTTTTTTCAGCTTTATTGAAGTATAACTGACAAATAAAATAATAAGATATTTAATGTATACATTTCTATTCTGTTTATTACTGTGACTTATTAATTTTATGTCCTTTAAATTTTATATATATATATTGTATTAATCTATATTTCTATCTATCTATCTATCTATCTATTTATCATCTAGCTAATTCTGAGCTAATTACTAGGTAGACAAGAAGTTCATTGAGTCATTTGCTGAGGAGGAAAAGACATTTGCAAGTATTAAAACATGAAGGGGTCTGGTCCATTTTGGCTGTGGTCATTAGGAATTAAAAACCAGCTCTCCGCATAGTACAAATGAGTCCACATGTCTGTATACAATAGATTAAAACAAGTCCCATGGATCATTAGTTATGGAAGAATCTTCAGTTGGATTCAGGTTACAGTTATTTAAAGTGCGTGGCTCTTTAAGAGCATTTGTGTCAAGAGAGTTCTAGTGAAAGACAACATTAAGTTTTGACTCTCTCAGGGCAAGTACTGCTGTGGGTGAAATTTTTACTTTTATACCACCTACTCTCCATGCAGAATTCCCTTGTAAACACATAAAAAGGTAGATATTTAAATTCTTTTTCCTGCTTCCCTTGAAAGAATAGTTACACACACACACACACACACACACACCTCACATTAAACTCAGCAGAATTAGCTTAATGACACACCTAAAACATTTCCATTTCTGATATGATTCAGTGGAGTTACTCAACATCATGTGATAGAGGTTATATACATATTAACCAGGATGGAATTTTGAAAGAAAAAGAAGTTATATATTAAGCTGAGAAACGCATTTTAAAAATTGGACTTACAGCCCTAACCGGTTTGGCTCACTGAACAGAGCATTGGCCTGTGGACTGAAGGGTCCTGGGTTCGATTCTGGTCAAGGGCATGTACCTTGGTTGCCAGCACATCCCCAGTGGCGGGTGTGCAGTAGGCAGCTGGTCCATATTTCTCTCTCATCGATGTTTCTGAATCTCTATTCCTCTCCCTTCCTCTCTGTAAAAAATCAATAAAATATATTTTTTAAAAAGTTGGACTTACAAATTTTTACTTCAATGCCTTTTATTTTGCAAGATCCTTTATCCTTCTCCAGTCTATCAACAATGAATATTTCTAAGATTTGATTCAAAGTTACCTTTGCAACAAAGTTTTCCATGATTCACTCCAAATGACTTCATTCACTACATAGCACTTAAGATATTCAATTGCATATGATTATTTGGCTTTTATTAAAAATACTAGAAGCCCAATGCATGAAATTCATTCATGGGGGGGGGGGGGGTGGCAGTGTCCTTCAGCCCAGCCTGCACCCTCTCCATTCCCGAACCTCTCAGGAGATGTCCAACTGCCGGTTTAGGCCTGATCCCTGCGTTGGACATCCCTCTTGTAATATGGGACCACTGGCTCCTAAACGCTCACCTGCCTGCCTGCCTGATCGCCCCTAACCACTCTGCCTGCCTGCCTGGTCACCCTTAACTGCCCTCCCCTGCTGGCCTGGTTGCCCCTAACTGCCTTCTCCTGCCAGCCTGATTGCCCCTAACTGCCTTCCCCTGGCAGCCTGGTTGCCCCTAACTGCTCACCCCTGCTGGCCTAGTCA